ATCACAAATTAACAAAAATTAAATAATTTATTAAATTAATAAGGATATATTAATAATATTACATATATACATTAATTAATATCCAAAATTAAAAATTCATGTCCGTTTATTTTGGAAATCGGTTTCTTCATTCTTTTTTAAAACCCACCTCCATCAAACATAAAGCCATTCATCAACTAGCATCAGGCAACACCATGCCATAATTTCGAATCCACCTTTCTCCTTCGCCCGATGTCGGTCACTTTCAAACGGTTCCTTCATCTTCGTTATATGCAACCTTAATTCCATATACATGGCTGTTAAATCCAATCGATGCAATGTGAGGGAAAAAGCGGGTGAAATCACATGGCATTCAATCCAATAGGCACTCAAGTTTCTCCGCTTGAATTTTCTAACTATGTAATTTTCTTTCGATTGTCTTTAATTTCTGATTTTGCTTTGCAGATTCATCTTCTTTGGAATACAAATTGATGTGTTGGTAGGATTTTAGATTATCTAGGGTTTTATTCAACTTTAATTGTTTGGTTAAATTTACAAATTGCCGATAATTTTTTATAAATTTTGGTTAAATTTGATTAGTTTATTTTTTAAGGGTAAATAATAGTGGAGTGTTTGATATTAACTATGAATTTTTTGGTTTTGACCAATTCAAACAAACCTTTTTCTCATGAGTGTTCGTATTTAGATTAATGAATATTAAAATGAAGAACAATTTTTTTCTATGGGAAGATATTTTTAGAGTATTAGGATTATGGAATTTAATTCATATCATATGCCAATTTCAAAAATGAAGATGCTTTTAGTCACCATGTTAAATTTATGAATTTTAAATTCTACCGATAACCTATAATTTGTGAATTTAAACCATATTTTGATTTGATTTTCTAGGTCATGCAATAACTTAGAATAGTTCCTATACGATTCAGTATTGTTTGATTGAGTTTTGGAAAAGTGGATTTTGCATGCAAATTGCAATGGATTTTGCATATGTGTGTTTGTTACTATTTTACTGGAATAAGAAAATAATGGTATGTATTTTATGTATTCTATCAGAATGTATTTTACGCATTCTATCATATTCTATGTATTCTTTCAGAATATATATAACGTGATAGGAATTGCAAGTAACATGCTTTTAACCATTTTTAGTTTTTATTTTATTTGTGATAGAAATGGCCAGAAGAATGGATTGAAAATTTCATTCTTACGATAATACATCACATTTTCGTAAGTATAGTTGGAATCAAGTCGATTATTTTGATGAATTAAAAAAAAAATTCATTCTATCAGAATGTAACGCCCCGATTTTCAGGTATGGATTTAAATAAATAATTTCTTTAGTTTTAAGTCCTACTCGACGAGTTAAGGCTGCCCTACTCGTCGAGTAGCAGCAAGATGGGATCGTGGATTTAGTAATCTACTCCTCGAGTCCACAAAGGGACTCAACGAGTAGGGGATGGCAGATGAACCCCTATATTTCGGGGCATTTCACCCTATTTAAAGGATCATTGGCCACCCCCTAGCCTCCCCTTCACTGCCTCTTGTCCCTCTAAAGTCCAAATCGCATGTGTGAGCTCATCTTGTGCATTTTAAGCTTGAAGGAGGAATTCTTGAAGAGAAAAGAGCTTGGAGACCAAGAATTCAGAAACAAGGAGCTTGAAGGACCTAAGATCCACTGTGGTTAGCATCTTCTGGAAGGTCTAAATCGTTACCCTAACCTCATTCACTCTTTTAGGCAACTTCTAGTGTGTTTGGAAGCTACTCTTCTTTGCAACCTCAGATCTGAAGTTGTAACTTCAGATTGAGCTCCTTTAGGCTTCTTAGTACATAAAGTTTCCAGATTGTGCAAGAATGAGACTCTCCCAAGGTGTAAAACTGCATTAGAAGCATATATTGGTCATTTAGAGCCTTTAGAACCTTGCATGTGCGTAAAGTTTGCAACTTTACGTGATAAACATGCCTTAGAGGCTTGGATCTGCAATCTGGAGCCTTGCCATGGCTTAAAAAGCGTTTGCATGGATGGAGGTCTGTGAGGACTCGGCAAGTTGGATGAACAACTCGGAGAGCCCGATGAATTTGGCCGTGAACTCGGTGAGTTGATGAACAACTTGACGAGTCCGTTGAAGTTTGCCTTGAACTCGACGAGTCGTTAGAAAACTCGGCGAGTCGACTAAAGTTCCCCATTTCTTGGACACGTATGTGCTTGACGAGTTAAAGGAGGACTCGACGAGCCAATCAAGGATCTCACGACTTCTTGAGTCCAGAAAGGACTCGACGAGTCGGTGAACTGCACTCGACGAGTCGAGTCAACATGGACTGTTAACTTTGACTGTGGGTGTTGACATTGACCAAGAGTTGACCAGATGACTTCTGAGGGTATTCTGATAATTTGGGAATTTATGAAAAAGGGTTGTATGGCAATTATAGGTAGTGAAGTTCGTGTTGGTGATCCGGGAGTTGAAGTTTTCTAGTTTTCTGACTTCAGTTGCGAAGTGAGTTATTCTCACTATACTAAGGGGTATAAGGTACCAAGACCAGCCCATTGGAGTTGATATCCTAGTAGTTATTGATATGTTGAGTTGAGTTAGTAATGTATGCTAGTTGATATGCTGGTCGAGTAGATCTGTAGGATTGCCTGTGATACTGATTGATTACCTGTATGTGCATTTATCTGTTACATGTCGACATGTTATGTGGGGTGGGTTGAGGTTGTACTGCTCTATGCGGTAGCCAACAAACCCGAGAGTATTCCAGATATGAGCTGAGGGCCCGACAGGCATTCCAGACTCATACTGAGGACTCGGGAGCATTCCAGATACGAGCTGAGGGCCCGACAGGCATTCCAGACTCGTACTGAGGGCCCAGGGGTAGTCCAGCTTGTAAAGCTGTGGACCCAATGCATGTTGTTCTGTTTTGATTGATATGATATGTTAATATTGATGTTGCTATGTGAACTGTATGTGTATCAGTATTTTGGGGGTAACTCACTAAGCTTTCGGGCTTACAGTTTCAGTTTATTGTTTCAGGTACTTTAGGGGATCGAGGCAAGGCTAAGGCGTGATCGTACAGCTCCTCCTATTGTGTTTATGTTTCTGGGAAAAACTCTGATAATCAATATTTTGAAAACAAGTTGTAATGTTTTGATGAACTTGATATGTTTTAAAAAGTTTAAATTGGGTTGAAATTTTGGATGTTACACAGAATTTTAACAAAATGAATTAATAATGTCAGCTACAGTCTATCATAATTTATAGTTTTTATTCTCTTAGAATACACATAATTTATAGTTTTTATGTTTTCTTTGTGGATTTAGGTTTTGAAGAGGCTGTCATTGATGTGGAAAAGAATGAAACATGAAGAACGAGAGTATTCTAACAGAATGTATTCTGCCGGAATTTATAAAATGTTTCTTAACAATAATACTCTTTTCATAATGGATTAGTGTTTTTGTTAGATTTTTCTTTTTTTTAACCATTCTTAGTTTTAATCTCTAAGAATAAATGTAATGCTTAAACCATTATTAGCTTAAAAATATATTGAATGAACAATATTCTGCAAGAATAAAAGCGAAAATATATTTACTAGTTTATGTTTGACTTTGTTATTTTGACATAATAAAATCGGTTATTATTAGAAATTATATTAGAATAAAATTTGAATTAATTTAAAAAATTCAGATTAAAAAAAAAGAATTAGTTATCCCTTAAAATTAGAAAATTTTCTTTTTTAATATAGGTTAATTGACCAAAACACCGTTCTACTGAAATTTGTGTGATTATATGGTAAATGTTATCCTATTATAATATCATAGCTTCTTAGATCATAACCATTGATTTTATTCATCCACTGATCCAGAATTGTTCTTAAAGGTACACAATAGATGTAAGAAACAAAATAACTTAGCCATATATATATATATATATATATATATATATATATATATATATATATATATATATATATATATATATATATATATATATATCACTGTTCTAATAAAAGAATAGTTTTCATCTCCTTTTGACATATGTCATCATATTAGACCTCCTAATTAATACACATTTTATTCTTTTTTACCATGTGTCACCAGGGGCGGATCCAAGGGGATACCGGGGTAGCCCGGGATACCCCTCAAATTTTTTTCGGTAGTGTAACTTTGTTTACGTATGCCTAAAAAAAATTCGGTGTAATGTATATATACTCATCCCTCCACTTATAAACACAAACAAACAGTTGATTTGTTGGTTAAGGCGTTGACTTATTCAAGCAAAGGTCTTGAGTTCTATTCTTGCTTCTTACATATTCTTTGTTTATTTTTGTTTTATTTTCCCAGCTATTCTATCCGACATTGCTAAACACATGTAAACTCAACCATTTTTTTTCTATTATATAAACCTGTTATGCTCATGCTTTATTTGATATCTACTTTGAATCCCATATTGATTTAAGTATCAAAATATACTTCAACTTCATGTTTATATAACAAGATTTGAGGTTTGCTAAGGATTCTATTAAGATTTGGGTTTAAACCCAAGTCCCGGGAAAAAAATTAGGTTACCCTAAAAAAAATTGGGATACCCCTCTACTTTGATCTTGGTTCCGTCACTGTGTGTCACCCTATTAAACCTCTTAATTAATGCATGCCATTTGTCAACCTATTAATTATTTATTTCAAATTTTAAAAATTTCACTTTAATTACAATAAATTAATAACAATGCAATAAAAATAAAATAAAATTAATACAAATTATAAGGTGATATAATTTCACATATTTATTTAAATTAACGATTATAATTGATTAATAATTTTGTGTTCTAACTATTAAAGTTTAATTAATTTTGTAGCTGTGGTTTCACGGTTATATATATATATATATATATATATATATATATATATATATATATATATATATATATATATATATATATATATATATATATATATATATATATATATATATATATATATATATATATATATATATAAACCACAATTTTGTATTCACATATCGTCCCTAGTCCATCCATACAAAGCGAGTGTGAGCTAACCTAACCAGGTTAGAAGAATTAACCTAACCCTGGTTAAATCTTATATCAGGAGGCGTTTATGGCTTCGTGATGGAGTTGTCCCTTTTATCATCTTTCTATTTAAAGGACTCCGTCATTGATCCCTGTTCTCTGTTCAGTTGATCATCCATTCCATTCTTATTTCTCTGTACTCGCACACAACATTGTGCGAGAAGTGAAGTCACAATGTCGGTCTCTCTCAGATTTTCGGCGCTCTGTTTATTTCTGGTTTATATGCTTTTCCTTTCCGTCAATGGCGTTTCGAGGTAACTTGATACAATGTCGGAAGTAATTCAATTAACAATATCCTTTTCACTGTGTTTATTTGCAAAACTGATTTAAGTTCTTACGAGTAATTTGATGACACACAGCGTACGTCTGGATCATGTTAAGTGTAAAAATGATGCATCGTTGTTAATTCTAGAAAATATGAATTTGATTCGCTGAGGTATTTTTGTGTTTTCAGTATGGAGGAGGAAAATGAGTTGCAGAGCTTAATAGACAACTCAACAATGGCCGATAGGTTAGTTGCGATGACTTTAATACTTCTGTAGAGTTGATGGCTGAGTTAATGTGATAATAATTGCGTTGATCGGGACTGTTTCTATTTGATAACAAAATGTCCATTTTGGTTATCTCCGGTGTGGATTTTTATTTATTTATTTGTTAGATCCACCTGCTTTCTCTAGCATTAACTGCTTTGAATGTTATACGATGGGTTGGATGTGATATACAACCGGATAATATGAGATCTTGTGATCGATCTAAGCTATCGTACAAATGTGTACTTTATTTCAGCCAAAATTCCGATTATGGAGTTGTTTTTTTCTTTTAGATTTCTAGTTGATGTTATCGATATGCTAAAGAATTCGTCTTCTGTAGCTTCAAACATATTGTATAGATTGGATCACGAATCGAGTACTGATCTAGAACTGTAAATAAATATCCAGGAGAAATGAAGATATTGCTATTGAAAAGAATGATAAGGCTGTTGAAGAGAATCCGGAAAGGGTCGCTTCTATGGTTGACATGTGAGTCTATTCTCTTCTCTTTCTTTTTATTTTTCTCACTTATTACATACACAGATTCATGTGCTTCAACTGTTTGTCATATTATTTTAATATATATGGGGTATAATAAAAAGAATATTTAAATAAAGTATCACATGGTCTCTGAATATCAACAAAACAATACCATGATCCTGGTTGATGGTCTGTTCTTGTCCTCATCACCCTTTTAAACACTTTGTAAATTACAATCTTTAACATTTCCATAATTTATTTTTTTTCATGATCAAATATAAATAATTTTGTAAATATGAGAATGTGATAACATTCAATATTCACTTAAATCCCATCCAACCCATGTGAGAGCATTTTGTCACCTAAAATGTGTGGTACATTATATATATATATATATATATATATATATATATATATATATATATATATATATATATATATATATATATATATATATATATATATATATATATGCCATTTGGGTCATTGGGTGGTCCTTGCATCTAAAATTAACTATTAAAACACAGTTTTTATAGGTGAAAGGTTTATTTTCATTATTTTTTTTACAAAAGAAGTTGTTGTAGTCATTATGGCATATATCATATACAAATAAATGAATTTGTTACTTTAAGATCTCCCCATGAATAAAGCTACATGTCACAATAAAAATATTAAATGTACTCTAAAACTTTCGGAACAAACTAAAATACTTGTCCCTATTACTTTATCTGTTTTAGTAATTAATCTTATCTCTATAACAAGAAAAGACAATAAATGAATTTGTCACTTCGAGATCTCCCCATGTTCTTATGATGTTGCATCTGTTTACCATTTTACTAGCATCTTTATGTGCCAGCGTGCCCACATGACCTTGCTTCCAATTAAGCATTTAATATACAGCATCTCTTCTGTTTTTTTTCTAATCATCTTATTTTTATTATATTATATTAAAATCACATTAGCATGCCTTCACCTATCATCTTCGTTCATACCTCTTAGTATAATAACTTTATTATTTATTATTAAGATTAACTTATTCTACGTTCGCTTTTGTCACGTGATTAGGAACACTTCTTTTTCATAATCATTTCATCATTTAATTTATTATTTTCATCGACGAAACTAATCGATGTAAAATCATAAATAATATTGATAATGGTACTAAATGTCAATTTTCAACTGAAGAAAGTACCTATGTACAATATTGTGTGTATATGAATTCACCAAATATGGTATTTAATTATTTAACTATTCTGATGAATAAGAATAAATGGATATACTTTTTTCACATGCATGGTGTCTTGGAATCAATCGGCTAAAGAGATTATTTATAGATCTTGCATGCATGGTACAATTATACATTCAAACTGATTGCAAAATGCCATAGGCTCGCCAAGCTTGACCGGGTCCCACAAAATTGGATCGTTTTGGGTCCAGTTCTGGGCATATGATCAGGAACAAGTCCGATTCGGAGTTTTACTAGATCTGGTTTTCACATGCAACCAAACCAAGTCATGTTGTGAGATATCTTTAATTTTCACCAGCTTCATTTCAAATACCGACACAACCATATCCGTATTTAAAGATTTAAATGCTATGAAGCTTTTCTCCCCCCACCGACGATACATGTGTCAATTATTTATTATTCCCATCCCTACACATTGATTGCCACCGGAAAAATCATGTTGCTTCACTTTCCGTATAATCCGTATTCATATATCTCTTTATTTTATTCATTTGGTCCATTAATATTATTTATTACTTATTAGTAGATTTCAATAATTTCTAAGAAGACCAAAACCAGTCAATGGTTCTATAAGTCATTCTCAAATTAAACCATTCAACTCTTTAAATCTAATGCATTATGGATTCGCTATCATCATTCCGATTTTATACAGCTTTGCGTATTGTCTTTATAACTCATTAAAGTTTAACAAATATTGAATAATTGAAATGCCACATCATACATATAGCATGTTTTTAATCATTTGTTATATTTAACTTTTTCTTTTATATGTACATCATAATATAAATATTAAAAAAAACTGCATAAAACTCAACTATTATACAGTAATCTAAAAAGCGTGATACTATTAAAAAAAAAAAAAAAAAAAAAAAAAAAAAACAATACCTACATATATATCTGGAAAAAAAAATTACATGAAAGGGAAGAATGAAATAAACCAAAATTATCATGTCTTACCTTTTATCAAATTAACTTAGATTCAACTTACACGGTACATATAATTTTCAATGATTGTGATTAATTTAGTTTAAAATTTTAAAAATCACTATTATTCATTTATAAATGTATTCTATATGAGTTATCGTTCAAAAAAAAAAAAAAACAGTTCAATCGTATTATTAGATAAGATAAAACAATAATATTATTGTGGATATATTAAAAAAGAATACAAATAATTGGACTTGTAATTGATGAAGATTGGAAATTTTGCAGGAGCATTCGCAATAGTACTGAAAGGAGGAAATTAGGATTTTTGTCATGTGGCACCGGGAACCCAATCGACGATTGCTGGCGGTGTGACAGGAACTGGCAGCGCCACCGCAAGAGGTTGGCAGATTGCGCTATTGGGTTCGGACGTAACGCAATCGGAGGTCGTGACGGACGGTATTACGTCGTCACCGATCCCAACGACGACGACCCAGTACACCCCCCGACCGGGAACTCTCCGGCACGCCGTCATCCAAGACCAACCTCTCTGGATCATCTTCAAACGCGACATGGTGATCACTCTAAAACAAGAACTAATCATGAACAGTTTCAAAACAATCGACGCTCGTGGAGTCAACGTCCACATCGCAAACGGCGGTTGCATCACAATCCAATACATCACAAACGTCATCATCCACGGACTCCATATCCACGACTGTAAACCAACCGGAAACGCCATGGTCCGAAGCTCCCCCTCACACTACGGCTGGCGAACAATGGCTGACGGTGACGGAATATCCATCTTCGGCTCCAGCCATATCTGGATCGACCATAATTCTCTCTCTAACTGCGCCGATGGTTTAGTCGACGCCATCATGGGTTCAACCGCGATTACAGTTTCTAACAATTACTTCACCCACCACAACGAGGTTATGTTACTAGGCCACAGTGACACCTACGACAGGGACAAAATTATGCAAGTCACCATCGCATATAATCATTTCGGTGAAGGTCTTGTTCAAAGAATGCCACGTTGTAGGCACGGGTATTTCCATGTCGTAAACAATGACTACACACATTGGGTAATGTATGCTATTGGTGGGAGTGCAGATCCCCACAATTAACAGCCAAGGCAACCGATACCTTGCCCCTGTTAATCCTAATGCTAAAGAGGTAATTAAAATTTTACTTTTATCGTTTTTGATCATGAGTTGTCGAGGCTATTTTTTTTTTTTTCGGCAAATTAGTTAGATTCGCTTTGCTCATGAGTGTTGTATAACTAAACAGGTGACTCATAGAGTGATGACAGCTGGAAGGTGGAGGCATTGGAATTGGAGATCGGAAGGTGACCTAATGTTGAATGGAGCATTTTTTGTCCCATCTGGGAAAGGAGCGGGAGCCAGTTACGCACGTGCCTCGAGCTTAAGTGCTAAACCGTCGTCTGTTGTGGCGTCTCTTACTTCGGGATCGGGTGCGCTTGTTTGTCGACGAGGCAGAGAATGTTAGAAAAACGATCTTTTTTGAGAAATCTCAGTTTTCATTTTTCTGGAACATTCTCTTTCGTTTTTTATTTGGAACGAAATACTTGAGAAGTGTACATCTAATTCTATTTTCCCTCTCCTCCCTTGTAAATTTCTGTAGTTGTTTACGTAAAATTCTCTTGATAGATGAAATTCAAGAGAGGAAGTGAACAGCAATTTAAGTGTGTTTACCGATTGTTCTTTTGTAATCCTTTGTTACTCCAATAGAACTATTATTACTTTGAAAGAAAAGTGAAAACTCTTATTGATATTAGCTATTTGTCTGTTCCCAACTACCGATGGTTGTCCCACATTGATGGGTGAGAGAAAAGAGGAAAGGAATAGGGGAATATAAATAGAAACGGGTGGGGGCTTTAGAAACTTACATACCTGGACGGGGTCTTAATGGGTGATCAGGAAGGCCCATGGCCTAGGTGGGTGACTTCCATTGCACAACAAAAGAGAAGGGTGCCAACCTAAGGTCGGCCCATGTTGGTCGATCCTACGTCTTAATTTCTGGCAGCGGGGGTTTGCGTTCGCGCGGCCCCTTCTAAATTTTCTAGTCGAATGTTTTCTTTTCTTTGGTATTTTTGTTCTATTTTGGTCTATTGTCTATATTAATTGGGTTTTCTTTTTCTAATATGTGCCGGGCACTTATAAGAAATAGAAATAGTAATTAAGGTATTTTTTTTATTAAAACTAGGATTTGGTATTAAATAACAAACTCTTTTATTCTTTTTCATATTTACCTTCCTATTATTCATACAATCTTGAAAAGAATAAAGAAAACCAAAAGCTATTAGTTGTATTTTGCACTTACTAATTGGCCATTGTTGCTCAAATTCTTCAACCGAATCTAACTTATACAAGTTGTAAAATTCAGTGCACCATCTTGAGTATTTACTTTTTAGCACCGAAGTAAACCAACTGCTAAACTTTGTGGCGATGTGCTATATGCAAAATGCATGTTTAGTATAAAACATCTATGTTTTAATTGCTTGTTTCATCTAAGGATCTTGATCGGTCAATATCGTTTTTGGTAACTTTTTCATTAATAGATTAAAATTCTGAAAATAAAGTAAACTTCATAAATTTAATCATATAATAATACAAATAGGTTTCAAAAAAATCAAACAAAAATATACTTACCTTAAAGAGTCATTCAAATGTGTTTAATTTCTTATTACGTAGAAGTGCACAACCAAACAATATAGTTCTTCCATGATTGTCGATACCGACAAATATGCCAAATGGCATGTCATATGAATTCACCTTGTATGTAGTATCAAATACCACAACATCTATGTATTTTTGATACAATTTAAAACAATGAGCATGACACCAAAAAATATGTTCTAGTCTATTTTTGCTATCTAGTGTAAATGCATATTGAAAATTAAGATTTTCATTTTTAACATTTTTACAGTACTACAAAAGCTCTCTTGCATCATTCTGTGAGTGCAGTTTATGATTTTTGGTAAAAATGTTATAGACATCCTTTTTAAGAAAAGAAAGTTCTACATGTCTTACCTTCCTTTCAAGATCAATCACACGCATAATTTGTGTAACAGACAAACCCCTTTCTTTTAATAAAAGTAATTTTCATCTTCTAATGTAATATTACGGTAAGATGGTAAAAACGAACCTCTTGAGCATTCAACAAAACATGATTATGCGCCGCAACAAACTTAGTGACTTGTCACTCTTCGGGGAAGATTTCGTTAATTCTTCTTAATGTTATACGCATGTGAGTCTTGCATTCACATCTTGTATAACCTTGGTTTCTTGTTTTTTTTTTTTTTTGTAATCTTTTTTGAACTATGATTTTTCTTCATGATGACAAAAAACGTCACGTCTTTTCCTTTCTCCTGTTTTCTTGTTCATGAACCTTCCTTTTCGAACGAAAAACCCTTTCTTTCTCGCATAATTTTGATAAAAAAAAATAAGAACCTCTTCTTCACTTAGAAAATATTGACCAACAAATGGTTCATCAAAAATTGTCTTGTTGTTTTAACTATATTCTTCAATAGCAGTTTCTTCATGCCGTGCATTTATGGAGTTTTCTTCAACAGGAACTTTATTAAGATCAAAAAGACGCGTTCTTCCATCTGTAAATGTTAGCAAAATGTTAAACTATTGTTTGTCGAAGAAAATGATAGAAGATATAGTGTAAAAAAAATTTAAAAAGATCATATATAAAGATGGAAGATATGTAATCATATTAAAAGGAACAAAAACTAATATATATATATATATATATATATATATATATATATATATATATATATATATATATATATATATATATATATATATATATATATATATATATATATATATATATATATATGCCGTGAGTGGAGGGAAAATTGGAGGGAACTAAAAATGTTAATTAATTGACATGAAACTTTAGTACGGAAATAATATAAACGTAAATTTAGAAAATAAAAAAACAAGTTTGTTAATTAATACGAATTCTAGTTCCAATAATCTTTTTACCATAATTACTATTTCTTAAGCACATATTAGAAAAACCCATATTAATTTCTCAATTTTAGTAAAGAAAAAAAATCTTGCAGATCGAAATCTTGAAAATATGTGCTTTATACATCTATTTTTAGAATTTTTATCATTGTAATTTCTTAACTTTACTTTATATTAAGTATAAAATTATTGCATGCAAAACTTAACTTATTTGACACATTGATTTAAGTAGGATATTTTTACTTGAAACAAAATAGATTGACAAATTTATAGTTTAGAAATAAACTCTAAACAAAAAATGTGCAAGCTATATATTATATCAAAAAAATAGCATTAAAATACTTGACTGATGAACATTGTATGTACGGATAAACGATATGAAATTGCACACATTCAAACAAGACAACTTTTTCTTATCCCTTAATTATATAGTGTACACACCATGCTCTTGGTGTGGTGCTTATGTGACGTTGTATGAAGGAATGTGATGAGAGTCATGACTAACAATGTGGATGTTCTCTTTTGGTTGGTCCATCTTCACCGGCGTGAGGATGGTAAACATCATCACATCCTTGGCGTGGAGTCACACATATCATACTATAACCAATTGAGATACGCCATAAAAACTTGGAATTTTCGGCTATAATTAAATTTCGCTAGTTAGGCAAACCATTATTTATCAAATTTTCATCTACCCGATTAGAAAGACAATTAATCTCAATAAAAATATAATATTCATTTTTATATTACTAACATGACTTTTTTAAGTACTTTACACTTGCAACTTCTTTACTAGCGTTTCTAATCATCACACATTACTCTAATTTTACAAGGCCAACTAAGAAGCTAAGTATATGTTGTTTGAAAAAATGATGTATACGTAACTTCTAATAAATTGGCATTAATTTTGGGTCCTTGTTGTATACGTTGTAATATCATAGTAATGCATATACCATTATAAATAATAATAATAATAATAATAATAATAATAATAATAATAACTAGAAAGGTTAACCCCGCTAAGTGGGGGCCAGAAGCTTTCAATGTTGTTTCTGAATCGATAAATATGACAGATGTAGAAAATGCAAGGATGAAAAGCACGAGCTTTATCCCGGACCGTTTTTTCATGTTTTTATGAAAATATGTAAAAGTTTTGACAGCAAGAACCAGAAGTGTCAAAATGGCTAAAAAATTAAATGGGTAGGAATTATCAACTTTTTAGAAAAGGGATCAAAGTTGTCAAACCGTTAAAGTTTTATGGTCAAACTTTAAATATTTAAATGTTCCTAAAAAGTGTAAAAATATTGATTGCAATGACCAAAAGTGTCAAAACGGCTGAAGAATGAGGAGCAAAGTTGACAAAAAACATCCAAATTTACTATTCCTAACTTTGAAGCTGAATCATAGTACAGGGACCAATTCTGCCAAAAAAATGGCAAGTTCATTATTCCTAAGTTTTATTTCTTTAATATATACTAGAAAGGTTACCCCCGCTACGCGGGGGCCATAAGCTTTCAATATTGTTTCCGAATCGATAAATATGACAGATGTAGAAAGTTGAAAGATGAAAAGTTCGGGCTTTGCCCCAGACCGTTTTTCATGTTTTTATGAAAAAATATAAAAGTTTTGACTGCAAGGACCAGAAGTGTCAAAATGGCTAAAAAATTAAAGGGGTATGAATTAACAGCTTTTTAGAAAATGGATCAAAGTCGTCAAACCGTTAAAGTTTTGTGGTCAAACTTTAAATATTAAAAGGTTCCTAAAAAGTATTAAAATATTGATTGCAATGACCAAAAGTGTCAAAATGACTAAAAAATAAGGAGCAAAGTTGCCAAAAAAACTTCCAAATTTACTATTACAAAGATTCATTTTTTTAATATATGTATATTAATTTCTCTTCTAAAATTTGCCAAAAATAAGTCCAAAAATACTATTAAATTAACAAAAAAAAAAAAAAAAAAAAAAACCCTTCAAAATGTATAATGGCTATATCTAACTCACAAAACAAGTTAGGATGCCAAGGCCAAGGCTAGACCACAATGCGTTTCGTTTATTCTGTGCTCCTTTTGGCCTCATTAGCTTGATGTCTTGCATATGAGTGGATTGAAATTTCTTTCATTTTAACTAGTAAAGAGGCCGCGACTACGCTGCTTTTGGGGTATTACGGAAAAAATCGGCAAACTTCAAAGATATGTGCTGAAATTGTAAATCACCACAACAGGGGAGAAAGTCGACAACCCCTAAAATTAGATGTCAAAAGTGTACAACAAAAAAAATGAACAATGCTGGAGAAAATTCAAAGGACGAAAAGGGTCAAATTCATAAAAGATTTGTGGCAAAAACATCAAAATGTAAAACTTTTTACTGTAAGGACTAAAAATATCATACTCACTAAAGATTCGTGGCAAAAACCAAAAGATAGAAAAATTCAATCAAAACACAATTTATAAAAGTTTTGATTTTAAGGGTGAAAAGTGTTAAATGCACCAAAGATTTGTGGTAAAATTCTAAAACCCAAAAAGATACTATTCCTAACTTTTATTTCTTTAATATATATATATATATATATATATATATATATATATATATATATATATATATATATATATATATATATATATATATATATATATATATATCGAGTGCAATTTCAAATTTTGATCATAAAAATTGACTTTTCCAGTTATAGATATGGATTCCGCGGAGGACCTCTGCGGACCTCCACGGAATGACGTCATGTCCACGAAATCAGAAAAGTTTCATTTTTTATTGTCTAAAAAATCCTTCCGCAGGGGTCCTCTGCAGAGACATTAACCCCTTCGTGGAGTGAGTTGTTTGACAGGTCATAAATCCCTCCGCAGAGTAGCTGACGAGGAGCTCCGCAGAGA